ATCTTACACTACTTTATGGTAGTATAATTTGAAAGTCCGAAATCTTTGAATTGTATAGATTAGGAACTTTTTTTAGCCTGAAAGGATATTCCTTATTAATGACATCACCAAAAACATGAGATTCATATGAAAGACCTTCTAGAAATAAGATGACTTACATAATAAAATTATTTTCAATTTATACTAACCAGAATGTTCTCGTCCTAAGAATTCTATTCCCACTTCCTGCAGGGCACCACTTAGTCCTTTTGGTTTTCTTCTATAGAAAATCTAACCAAATAAAAGAAACATCCAAAAAAAGGTTACTATTAGAAAGGCTATGTATTAACCACTTACTTTTCATAATTTTTATTTCTATTAGATTTGGAATGTCCTTATTTTGTTGTCATTTGTACATACTTTAAGAAACCTATTTATGGGGGCGCCTGGGTGGCTCAGTCGTTAAGCATCTGCCTTCGGCTCAGGTCATGATCCCAGGGTCCTGGGATCGAGCCCCGCATCCGGCTCCCTGCTCCACGGGAAGCCTGCTTCTCCCTCTCCCACTCCCCCTGCTTGTGTTCCTGCTCTCGCTATCTCTCTCTCTGTCAAATAAATAAATAAAAATCTTTAAAAAAAAAAAATGTTAAAAAAAAAAAAAAGAAACGTATTTATGTGAAAGTTTAAAAAAAATATTTTATTTATAGTAACCTATACCCATGTATGGGATGAAGTTTCATCATTTTTCAATAGAAGGAAAGTGACCATGCCCCCATCTTTGACCCTTACCTTGTAAGTTACTCTGAGATCAATCCAAGAATTTAAGAATGCAGGTTTTAACAGCTGTTTTCTTTTACACTCATACTCCAGGCAAACCCCCAAGTCCCAGTCTGCATTAAGTATGTTAAAATAGAACAAATTCAATGATGCCAGTAGTTTTTACTCATGCTATCATTTATAAATAAAAGGCTCAAATATTATATAAAATAAGATTTAGAAAGACATAATATATAGTATATAAATTTATATAAATATGTATTATTTATATATATTATATATATTTTATATATAATAGTATACAGTATACTATCATTACATACTATATACCAAAGTGTAATATGTACTAGAGAATATAAAGTATACTGTATATACTATAACAATATACTATATAAAACAAAATAGGATTTAATTGCTATTAATATCTAACAATTATTCACTTTATATAATTTACTATTAAGAAATTAGGTTGGTAACTAAGTTTCAAAATGATTTCTTAAATACCCAATTAAACACACTGAGTATTTCAGAAAGAAGAGTAAGGTGTCAAGTTACAAGGCCTACAAGGAGGTTATCTGCTTTCAACATTCTAGAAAATACTAATGTAATTGAGAAACCAGACATCTTATAGAAACCTAAAACCAAAAATATGACTATTGATGGCACAGCATTGCTATCAATGACTTTTAATGGCCCCTTTTTTCCTAGTGTGAAAGTATAAAGCAAAGAATGTGAGTTGAATGAAGACTCTTTTTATTCAAGGTTATAGAAAGTAGCATAAAAGTTTTCACTAAATCATCTTTGCCTGGAGCCAAAAGAACAGGGAGGTACAATCTAGAAAGATTCTTAAAGTTAAGTCTTAAAAAATTTTAAAGTATTCCAGAATGGTAAAATTTGAAAAATATGAATAAATTTACTTTCCTTGGTTAACATCTGTTTGGCACTGAGATTTCTTTTTGAGGTCTAAGAGGTTAACAAGTACAATTCTTACTATAGATAACGAATTACATAGTGGTTATCCTACTTATTTATGATTGATAGATATAACTTATTTTTTACCTGACCAAGTAACAAATGCACATAATTTTACTTTGGAATTAGGCAGATCTGAAATCCCAGCAGCAAAAATAATTTTCTTCTGTTGTTGAATCTTCTGAATCCATTTACAGAACTGAGATAAGCAAATCCTCAGAGGGACTCCTTCATCAACTTGAGCCTGAGTAAAGTCACAAAATCTAAACTGAACAATCGAATTCTGTAATTATTGAACACATCATTAGCACATAATTAAGCGCTATAGGGGGATGTAAAAAAGAAGAGGTTCTGTGCGCCTGGGTGGCTCAGTTGGTTAAGTGTCTGCCTTGGGCACAGGTCATAATCTCAGGATCATGGGATCAAGTCTCACATCAGGCTCCCTGCTCCACAGGAAGTCTGCTTCTCCCTCTGCCGCCCCTCTCCCCACTCGTTCTCTCTTGACGCAAATAAATAAAATCTTAAAAAAAAAAAAAAGAGGTTCTGACTGCCAGAGTTTATTTAGTGAAAAAGATGCTAAAACACATGGAAGAGAGATGATATAATGATTAGAACTCTGCGAGACAAGAAAAATTAGGTTGCTCTACCTAAAATCACACAGAAATATAGTAATTAAATCCTGACTGACAGAAATTTGATGTCACTTAATTTCCGTAAGTTTGATATTCATTTTTACAACACTATTCTAATTTTTAAAAATTCCAACAGAGTTCTGGAGGGAACATTATTTCTAACAGTACATAAATCTAGTTCCGAATGGTATATACTTTTTATTTTCGTTTAAAAACTGATTTCTGAATTTTAATATTTGCATCATACTTTCTTGTTCCTTTTTGGGGAGGGGCAGGGTGAGAAGAGAGGTAGGGAAAAGAGAAGGGCATACCTGTTTTATGCCTGTCAGTTCCATGCAAAATTCAGAAAGAATTGGATGTTCTTGAGGCTGAACGTAAGCATGGAACTCAGATTCAATCTCTCCAGTTGATGTATTCAGCAATACTGCTGGAAATTCAACTACATGAGAGAATCATCAATTGACACTTGAATACATAATTGTTGAATTAATGCTGTAATCACTCTAAATTAAACATATTTTACCATCATATATCATTATTAGACAATCATTATTTCAGTAAAAGCATATTAAAATGACCAAAGCAGTGTGGTAGAACAGTTATAATAAAATTGTGCCAAAGAATAAGTCAGAATATTAAAGTTATGAGTGTATCTATTTAAACTCTTGAATATATTTCCACAATTAAATATGAAGACCATATGTAAGTTAAAATGTACTCCTTTTTGCAAAGGTAGTTTTTCAGTTCCTATGCAACTGAGATTTTGTATGGAATTCTAAAATAATTATTTTATATGATGATACTTTTAGATGTTAGATGTTTGTTCTTTTCTTGTCAAGTCAGGTTTTATAGTAAACTACCAATTCATAGGGCATCTTGTTTTCTTTTAACTGTTGACTAGTTTCTATCTATTAAAGTGACTCCTCTAGGGCTAGCTTTGACCACTGGCAGTCCAGACTTACTTATTTCTTGGCTCTGGTGGCGTTTCCCATCATTCCAACATGTTGACTCAAAATCAATGACAATTAAGTAGTCAAACAACTGCTCTGCAAAACAAAGGGTGTCCTTATGCTTTATCAGTGTTAAAAGTGCAAGGGATACAAAATGTAAAGAAATGAAGCATGCTACTTACTAGATTTGCTTCTTCCTAGATTTCCACTTGCTGGTACAACTGACTTTCTTCTAATTAATCCAAGCTGCCTAAAAAAGTAAAACAACCCAGTATGTTCAACAAACTCACACTCCTGTTCGAATATGCTAACAAACTAATGGTATAACCCTCATTATTAATGGGACAGGAAATTGAACTAGACTTTGAGAGCAAAAGACCCTGGTTCTTATACTGACTGCCACCCTCTCTTTTAAGTCATTTCACCTGCATGTGCCTCAAAGGTCATATTTGCAAACTTAGACTAATTCTTTCTGCTTCCCTTATTTTACAGTAAATACTGAGGAACTTGGGTGATTGCAGAGGTAAAGATGCATTTAAAAGCTTATTTTTGCCTTTGCATTTTTCAAGCCCTTGCTATGTGCACAGCACGGCTCTAAGGAGATAGGGCAGATCCAGTCTTCCAGGAGCTCAAAATACAGCTGGGTAAAAAACCTAGACATCCATGGTAAACTAGTGGAAGGTAATATATGACAAAGGCAATACCTGAGTTCACAGAAAGGTATGAGCTTACTGAAGTGTTAAGTAAGACAACTACTTCGAAGAACAGGTCGAGTTTAACTAAGCAGACACTTCCTGTTGTCGTTTTTTGTTTAAGACGTGATGGGAAGCGCAAGGAGTTGGGAATAATTGCGAATATTTATTTGATTTCTTACTACACAGCAGGCACTGAACTCTGGTGATCTCACTTAATCCTCAACAACTGTACGAGGTAGTCACTTTTGCTATCTCTATTTTATGGGTGAGAAAACGGATTCAGTAATTTGCCAAGGAACACAGATTTGGTATGTGAACCCAGGATCGTCCAACTCTGAAGCCCATGCTATTTACTAATACATTACAATACATTACAACAGTGCTTCTAGAAATCAGAAATGTGCCCAGCGTGACCAGGAATCAGGGAGAAAGCCACAATAAATCAAATGACGAATTAAACGGATCACTAGGAAGTGGTGGGGTGAACAGCTTGACGGGTGACGTGGGGGCTGCCTGAGACCTCGGAACGGCCTACCAGGCGCTGTCACGTCCATTCGTTTCCCGAGGCCTACAATGGGCTGACAGTGGCTCAAGGCCACACAGTCCGAACCCCGGTTCTTCCAACCTCGCGCAGAGGGCGGCCTGAGGCTCGAGACCGAGATGCAAGCAGAGACCTTTCAGTCCGGGCCAGACAGTGCGGGTCGGAGACCCCGGGGCTGCAGAGAATGAAGGCTGATACCGCGGATGCCCACTGCCCAGACCTGCTGCAGACGCCAGCACCCGACCAGGAGCCACCCCCAGGCCAGAAACCCCCCCCTTACCGCGCAAGCCTCTTGGTCGCCATTCCCGGCACTCCTTACTCCTCCCAGCCCAACTGCGGGAAGTTGTTAACCCCCCACTTCCGGTCCGTTCAAACCCCTGGCGCGTCGGAGGAGGCGGTTGTGGCCGCGGCTCTGGCTGCGACTGAGGCGGCGGCGGCTGCGGGTTGGGCTGTCTGCCGGCTCTTCTTCGGTGTTTTCGGGGCTTGGGGGCGCGGGGAGTGTTTTTTGGCGGGGAAGTCGCTTGGCAGCAACTTTCTCTTTTTCAACGGGCGGAGGCGCCTTTGCGCCGTTGGGGAACCGTTTCGAATTCGGCCTCCGGCGCGGACGGTAAAACCGTTGGTCTCGGTGCGGTTTTCTCCGCTGCGCAACAGGGAGGATAGTTGGCGCCCTCGCTTTTCCGGGAGGGTTGGGAGGGCTCCGTACACTGAATTGAGGAGAGGATCTGAGGGAGCCTGTAGGCCGTGGAGGCCTCACCTGCTCCCCCGTCAGGAGGCGGCGTTTCCTCAGCTCTCGCCGGTGTTTCTTCACAGCCTCATGGATCCCGAGAGGGAGAGGACCGGGAGGCACCTCAAGAAGGGCAGAAAGAGGAGGCGGGCCGCGAACACGCTGGTCGGGGCGGCTGAGGCGATGAGAGCCCGTTGGACCCTGGAGGAGAGGCAGCCTGAGGCCAAGGTGAGTAACGGGGAGCCCGAGTGGGCGGTTAGGAGCCCGAGGAGGTTAGGAGCTGCCAAGCCCTCGCCCCAGCCGCCTTCGGGGCCCTTCCTGCCCTGGACGCTGCGGGTCAGCCTCATCCACCCACTGGCCTTTCGGAATCCCGCTTTCCAGTCTGTAAAATGGGAAAGCTGATAATGGTTTTTAAAAACTAGTGTGGTGCCTGGGACCCAAAAAGAATGTTCACTCAACAGATAGTTTATTGAGTCTTCCGTGTGCCAGGATTTGTCTAGGTTCCGGGAATATCCCAGTGCACGAACCCAAAATTCCTTGCCGTCGTGCAGTTTACATGGCACGCCAGTAGGGGAATAATAAGGCTGATGAGCATCCCTGCTGTGTATTGAGAACTAAATATACGTGGTCCATCCCTTCAGTCATCAGATTTCTGTTGTCTGCCATGTGCTGGGCACTGCCCTAGGCACTGGGGGAACATCAGTGAATAAACAGAGGTGACTACTTCGTTCTAGTGGAAAGAGACCGAAGACAAACAATAGGTAGAAATGATAACCCGGTTTCCCCCACTATCCGAAAGCAGAGCGGTCCTGTGAAATCTTTCTAAGTTGAAATGGTGTAAAGCAAAGAAGCATTTATTAATTTATGCGGGGGGGCTGGGAACTGGAACGTTTCCAGACTCCCAAAATAACCTCTGTTAAGTTTGCTGATGTCTCAAGACAGATCTTGCTAACTGATGCACAAAATCAAGATAAAGCGCAGATGCTCACAGACAATTCAAAGCTATGAGGGCTTCATGCTAAGTGTAGTTCTTGGGGAAGGAGCTTCGCTGTGCCACTCTGCTTGGGGTGTGCTGCCTTTATAACTGGCTTGTTGTGAAACAAATGCTGAAGGTAAAAAGTGTAAACAGGTACAGTGCTAATAGGTCTGTTGTAAAAGGGAAGTGGCAGAACACAAGCTTTCAGAAAGCAGGGGATACCTGTAGGATGTAAAATGGGAAATAGTGCTATGAAAACATTTTTTATTTAAAAGGGATTCTTTTTTTTGCCTATCAAATTGGCAAAACAACTTTTTAAAGGTTAATATGGTGAAAAGTATAAGGAAATAGACAATCTCATCACTCTTTTATTTTGAAACAATCTCAAACTTAAAGAAAAGTTGCAAGAACAGTATGAAAAACGACCCCAGTCAGCATTTGAAAGTGATTGCTAACAATGCTCCATGACCATCCACCCGTATTTTAGTATTTCCTGTAAACAGTCCTACATAACCACAGTGCAACCATCAAAATTAAAAATAACATGGATATATTGCTACCATCTTATCTTCAGACCCCATTCAAGTTCCTCAGTTGTTCCAGTAATATCCTTTTTAGCAATAAGATCCAGTCTAGAATCATGTGTTACATTTAGTTGTCATGTCTCCTTCAATCTGTACAGTTCTTTAGTCTTTTCCTTGACATCTGTGGCCTTACTACTCTTGAAGAATCCTGAACCAGTTATTTTGTAGAATGTCTCATGTTAGATTTGTGTGTTTCCTCATCGATTAGTTTTGGGTTATACATGTTTGGCAGGAATATCACAGAAGTGAACTCTTTTCTCTTGTATTTTATTAGGTTGTACATGATTTTGATTTGTTCCATTCTTGTTTTTCTCTAATTTTGTGGAGAGATGCTTCCTTGTTAAACTTGTAATTCATTTTTTTATTAGTATGAACTCATTGCCTATTTCATTCAATGGGTTATAATCCATTACTATATTTTGATGCTCAAAATATCCCATATTTGAGCGTTAAGCTAGCTTCTGTGTTCTTTGGACCTCATAATTCTTCGAGCATTTCCTTATTTTTTTGGCACAAAAAGATGTTCCAGGCTCATCTGTGCTTTTCCTGCCCCAGCCCTGGAATCAGTAATTTTTTTCTGGGGTGCTTGGTTCTAAATGACATTTAGAAACTCAAGGTTCTGGGTATTAGATGTGCTCAGTGCTATCAGGATGTCAATACTCCCAAAAGAGAGCTAGGAAATATGTATTTATATATCCATATACCCATATACACACATATACATGTTTACCTTTAAATATTTTTCTATCCATACATACTAAAATCTCTACCTGCAGTCTGTTTCCACAAGGTTCATTCTTGCTTTCTCTCTTCATGTTTATAATTTCCTTCTCTATTCAGTGAGAAACCTGATTTGTCATTATTTTCAGTATATTTGACCAGTTCCCCATGCTGCACCGCCCCACACTCCCACACCCTCTTCACCTTGCTTGGGCTCTGTCACCCTGCACCATGTACCAGGCCACCCTCCTGTGTGAATTACTGTGACAGGCTACTATCCTTATCCTTCATACAGGGACACCCTTACCCTGTTCAGGCTCTGAATCTTGTGGCAGGCCACTTTTGTCCCTCAATATTGATGCCCTCCTTGCCTTAAATACTTTCTGACATCTGACACCAGCCCTCACTGCTCTCCACTTCCCTCTACATGGATGCCTTCATACTGCTCAGGCTTTGACACCCCACAATGAGCCATCCTTCTGCATGTATGCCCTCCCTAAGGGTATTTTCCTACCCTTAGTCTTAGCTCTCTCCCCTATAGCATGCCCTCCCCGCCCCCCCCACTTAGGCTTTGACCTCCACTTGGCAACCATGTTTACTCACTGCCACATAGACCCCTACCTACCTCACTCAGTCTCACCTTATCAATCTTATAATTTTGACTGGTAAATATAAATTGGTATATTCTTTCAGGAGTTAATAGTACTTGTTAGAATTAAATAGTTGACCCTTGAACAACATGGGGGATTGGTGTGCCAAACCACCATTTACCCTCCCTGCCCTGTGCAGTCCAAAATCCTTATATAACTTTTGACTCCCCCAAAACTTAACTACTTAAAGCCAGAAACCTTACCAATAACATTGGTAGCCAGTTGACCAGAAACCTTAATGATAACATAAACAGTTGGTTAACACATACTTTGTAAATTACATGGATTATATACTGTATTCTTACAATAAAGTAAGCCAGAGAAGATGTTACTAAGAAAAGCATAAAGAAGAGAATACATTTATGATACTAAACTATATTTACCAGAAATGAACCACATATAAGTGGATCTGCACAGTTTAAACGTGTGTTGTTCAAGGGTCAACTCTAGGTGCTTATTTTGACCAGGAACTTATCCGGAGAATTTATCCAGGTACACGGGGATGTTTGAAAGGATGCTCATAACAATAAAAAAAATTAAAAAAAAAAAAAAAAGATGCTCATATTATTTATAATATTAAAAAAGTGTCATCAATAGGGAATTTTTTCATATATGTTGTAAGTGTTCAGATAAATTTAGAGAATGGACTACTAAAATTGGTATTTGATACATTTAACTGATACAGAAAGGTATTTACTGATTTTTGGGGAGAGGGAGGGTTGCAGAGTTGGTTACCAAACAGAACATATATTCATCCTTTAGGGGGAGTATAATATAGAGATGAAGAATTAGGGCTTTTTTAGGAGGGAGAAGCTTTAGTGAACTCCCTGTTTCCCCAGAATAATGTCAGACTCCTTAGCTTAGACTACATTGACCTATGACCTGACTCCCTCTTTTCTCTGTTCTCAAATCTCCACTGCTCTGCAACATGCCATTTTGGTTCTAGCCAAACAAAATTACGTGTTTAGACACAACATTCCCCCCCATCTGAGTGACAAATTATTTTCAAGACAGTTCCAGTATTTTCAGTATCAGTCAAGTTATCCCCCAAACTCTCTAACCCCCAAGGCAGTTAGCCTCTTTGCTCCTACACCTTTATAATAGCACTTACCCACATTGTATTGGAATTAGCTATTTCTGCATTTTTTTTTCCCCTTAGTAGAATGAACTTGAGAGCATGAATCATGTTTTATTCATTTTACTATCCCTAGCAAGTAACCAAGTATCTGTAGTAAGGTTCTGTATCAATGTTTATTAAATATTGTATTAATAATGTCATATCACAGGTTGTTGTTTTAGATCTTCATTTCCAATTAATTAGATCCCTCCTTATATTTGCATATAATTTGCTTTGCTTTGTTCCTGTTCTCAATAGTCCTAATTTTTTTAAAGATTTTTACCTATTTGAGAGAGAGAGAATGAGCGATGGGAGGGGCAGAGTGAGAGAGAGAAGCAGACTCTCTGCTGAGCAGGAAGCCTGACGTGGGGCTTGATCCCAAGACCCAGAGATCATGACCTGAACCGAAGGCAGATGCTTAACCAACTGAGCCACCAGGCACCCCAGTCCTAATTTTTTTTTAAGATTTATTTATTTATTTTAGAGAGAGAGCATGCAGGGGAGGGATAGAGGAAGAGGGAGAGGAGCAGACTCCTTGCTGAGTGGGGATCCCGACGTGGGGACTCAATCCCAAGACCCTGAGATCATAACCTGAGTCAAAATCAAGAGTCGGACGCTTAACCGACTGAGCCACCCTGGTGTCCCGGTAGTCTTAATTTTTAATGCCCTGATTTATCTTTGCAGAAAGCCCGCTTATCTACCATTTTATTTGCTGAAAACTGTGAAGTGACCCACGATCAGTTATGTGAATTGCTGAAGTATGCAGTTCTGGGCAAATCCAGTGTTCCTAAACCCAGGTATGAGATGTACTTAAATGGTGGGTATAAACCCGAGGTTTCAAATTAGTGTCTAGAGGGCCATGTATTCCTTAATTAATATTATTTGTTTGCTGTACAGAATGTCCTAAATTTTTTCTTTTAATGGTGGGGGAGGGGCAGAGGGGGAGGGAGAGAGAGAGAATCCCAAACAGACTCCAAGCCCAGTGTGGAACCCAATGCAGGGCTCAATCTTATGACCCTGAGATCATGACCTGAGCCGAAATCAAGAGTCAGACGTCTAACCAACTGAGCCACCCAGGCACCCCCTACATTTTTTCTTTATAGGAGTTGCCAACATTTAATTTGGGAATTCTTTTATTAAAATCCAGATACTTTAAAAAAAAAAAAATCCAGATACTTTATTTCTTCAAAAATTTCTAAGATGTGGCAATTTTATCCCTGTATTCCCAAATGGCAACAATTTGTCAAAGCTGAACAGTGGCCTTCCCCTTATAGATGGGGCATGTACACTTTAGTGTACCACCTACTGGTAAATAAGGCCTGCTTCCCTTATTTACATTATCTGTCTGGCTACTTTTTGGTTTGCAACCCTCTTGGGAGCTTCCTGGGTGTAAACTGAAACCTGCCCCACTTACTTGGAGGGCAGGGAGAGACTGAAGAAAGAGGCAGGCTGTTCCAGGTTGGTAAGTGGCAATTTTAATAATAAGTGAAGGGAACTTACATACAAGGCTTGTCTTGGGCAGGAGGAAGACAAATGGATCCCTACACATGCCTGTCAAATCTTAAAAAAGTTTATATAGAGGGTTTAACTGGGTTCAGTCATATGAACCATGCAGGTGTTTTCAACACCACGTCACTGTCTCAAGGCTATGTCCTTGGAGCAGCCTCTGGGATCAGGAAAGACAAGCAGAACCCACATTCAAAGGCCAGAGAAGAAGGGGGTGAGGAGCCTTCAGGTGCCAGGGTCCAGGTGACATGTTAGCTGGCAGTCATATCTTTTCACTGACCTTTCCCAACACCGCTTAAAGGTATTTTGGTTTGTAACCCCTAGTGGAGACCCAATTGAAAATAACATGATCATGTGTTAAGAATCCCAGTTAATCTTTTCTGTTCCTTTTACATTAAGGGACAAAAAGAATTACACTATTCTGATATCTTCAATGCCATTGTTAAATGTCTAATGAAAATTGCTTTTGTGTATGTACCAATAAAAAATTTTTCAAAACTTTTTAATTTCTCAGACGTATCTATCTAAGGGAGATTTGCTAGATAACTCAAAAGCCATCTTCTATATTAACAAATATTGCCAGTAGTCTGTCAATTTATCTAAAACTGGCTTTCTTAAAGCCAGTCATGTGATTACTAGCTTAGGAAGGATTCAGCAGCTTGGGATCTTGAGGTTATGCCTTTGTAAAATGAGTTTATTTCCAATTTAAAACAAATCGTAATAGGATTTTGGATTTGAATGCATTGTGTTTCCCTTGGTATCGTACTTGATTTGAATGCAATAAACTATTATCTCAAGAGATCTCTATTTGAATTCTGTACAGTAATAGCTGTTCTTTGCCAGGCAGTCATTGAGTAATGGTGAACTCCATTAACTTTTGCTCACTGCTGTTTTTGCACCCTTCCCTTTTGTATGTCTATAACTCACTTGATGGTATCACTTTTAGCTGTGTTGGTTTGATTTTTCAACAGCTGGTGCCAACTTTTCCACCAAAACCACCTGAACAACGTGGTGGTTTTTGTACTGCAGGGAATGAGCCAGCTACACTTTTACAGGTTCTATTTGGAATTTGGATTTCTCCGAAAGTCATTCAGACACGTAAGTTAAGAAAACTTTGTAGCAGGGCCTGAGTTGAGTCCTCTCATCCAAAGACTAGTGCATGTCTCAAACTGTGCTCTTTGGCAACCTGATTGAACAAGCAGTAGAGGTTGTAGAAAGCAAGAAAGATTAAGATTCAGAGATCTCTTGTTGAGATTAGGTTTGCCTCTGATTTTCTTTGATAATTTAGGCAAAATATTTATTACCAGATTACAATCTATACGTAGTCCCCAGGCTGATATATCCTGTTTTATTCGGGTTATGATGTTTTCAGAAATTATACACTTTACGTAAGTCTGTGTTTTTTGGCCTCTTGACAACATCACAAGATTAGACATCCTTAGAACAGTATCTGGAGCTGAATAGCGGCTTTCATCTTTAGAAGAGGCATGTGCTCTCTATTTTCCTTCCCATAGCCACCTCTAGTCTTTATTGGACTGTTTCATCCATTTACTGCTGAGGGATTTGAGTTGGTGAGTCCTAATCTCCTTGGGTCTCCGTTTTCTTTTTTGCTTTCATTTATCAAAGGCTACATATATGCTAGGACCTACATCAATCATTCTGCATGCATCATCTTTAATTTTCACAGTAGTTCTGTGAGAGATATAAATATCTTCTGTATGTGAGGAAACTGTAAGTATCTTGTCCAAGTTATAGCTAGTAAGTGTTGGAGCTGGAATTTCGGCAAAGGTAAGCCTAAGGCTGGAGCTTTCAACCTTTCAGCTTTGCTGTGTCATCTGTCCTAACTACTTGGCAAGCTGTCCACTAAAGTATAATAGATACAGAAGTGCTTGGAAAATATAAGGGACTTTCCTTTTCTGAGTTATACATTTCTGTAATGTTTGTCTTTGTTTCCAATGTGTAATCAGAACCAAATAAAATATCTGAGCTGGGATAAAGGTGGCTTCACTTACTTAGTCACTTTTATTATTATTATTATTATTACCTAGTCACTTTTACACATTAAGGAAACAGTCCTCATTTTGCAATACAAACAATTAAGGTCCAGACCTTTCATAGCACTGAGCTGACAATAAAAGTGAAAAGTCTTTGACAATATTTTAACTGCTTTCAAGCACTTTTATAAAAACTTGGTATGTATTTTCAGAAATTCCGCTTGCCACCACCATCATCTAATTTCCTAGCTGATATCATTGGACTGCAAAAGAAACAAGTAACGGGGGATCTATCCAAGATGGTGGAAGGTATGGCTGTGACTCTGGTTTGATGATTTGCTCGTTCTAAAAGACATTATGGATATGCTTATAAGTGGGTTTATCAGTCAAGTTTATTCTTGCAAACAACTAAGGTCAATTCTAACTACCTTAAACAGAAAAGCAGGGTTTTTTTTTAAAGAAAAAATGGATAAGTACCTCGGGAGAATAGAGAGCAGGAACCATAGCCCGTATTCATGCCCCAGAAACCATCTGGTTAGGTGCGATAGCATAGGCTATCCCTGCATATCACTTAACATTGGACTCTTATAAAAAACTGTGAATAATTTTTAAACTGTCAGTGGGTCTTTGTACCCACGAGTGTACAGATGGGAAGGAAGATCTTGCCTTTGACTAATGGAAAGGACACCCTTAATACTACTCACAGTGGGGAGTAGGCAGGAGGTTAAGATGCTGGCCATCTAAAAGAGAAATATCCATGATGGCAGTTTTTCAAACGATGGGTTGTGTCCGTGAGTAAGTTGTAGTTAACCTTCTGTTTTTGTAGGGGGAAGCAGGTAAGTGATGGAATAGAAAAGAACTTGCTCGATAGAGTTCATTGGACATAGTAAGGTAAGTATTGTTCAGTGATGCTTTTTTGTGTGTGTTCAGAAATAATAGTTACACTGAGGGGATGTGAAAAAGTGGTGAAAAGCCAGTGATTCCTTCCTATCTCCTCTAGGACTGTGCTTCTTATTATCCTGTCTTAAAGACCCCTGACTTCCTTTCCACTGTTCCCCTCTCCTTCTACTAGATGCCTGTATCTGACCTGCCTCTGTATTTTATTTGACCTCCACTGTATTTTAAACATTTTTGAGTAAATAACAGAGTAGTCATTACTAGATTCAAAGCTCATGTAAAGACATAGCATTGCAAAAGAAATCATCAGAAAAAAGAAATTTGATGTGGCTGAAGAATATAGATTGTTGGGGATAATTGGAGGAGGATGGGTTAGAATAAGATAGTTGGGGGAGGATGGTAGTGGTGAGAGATGAGGCTGAGAGGTAGATTAAAGCTCTGTCCTGCAGGCTGTAAATGTCATGCTAAGGACTTTGGATTTTATTCTGTAGACTTTGAGGAGTCAGAATTATGGCTAGTTCTCTATCCTCTTAAGGATTTCACTTTGTTTCCCATTCTAAATATCAGAGTCCCAAAGCATAGTCTGTAACACTGATCTTCCCTCAATTCAGTCTTTCCTTCAAAATATTTATATATCTCACACTACATCTAAAACTAATGATGTAATGTATGGTGATTAACATAACAAAAAATTAAAAAAAAACCCCACAAAATATTTATATATCTCCCCAAGTTGACCTATCGCTCTTCTTTGGTTAACGCCTGTATCTTTATCTCTAGGTCTGATGTCCCAGATTCCAGGCTTGCATTTTCAACTGCCTGCTGAATGTTGCCACTTAGATATTCCCCTGTCCCCTCAATCATAACATAGCTAAAAGCATTTTTCTTATCCTTAAATAACATAACAGGCTCCCATCTTCAAATCGCCTTTCTCTTGGTATCAATTTTCTCTAAGACAACAGTCTTGAATTTTAGAATTACTTTTCTTTTCGCTCCCTGTACCCAGTCTGCATAGCTCATTCCCTTTGCTCCTATGAATATCTATTCATATGTCACTTTACCAGAGAGATCTTCCCTGATTATAAAATTTAAGACAGTAACTCTTTTCCTGCCCCAGTACACCCTCTCCTCTTTTCCCTCCTTTACTTTTCTCTGTGGTCCTTATTCCTTACCTGACATATTATATATTTATTTATTGTCCATGTTCCCAACTAGAATTTCAGTTCCATGGAGAATTTTGTTGACTTTGTTCATTGAGGAATCTCTCGTGGCTAGAACAATGCCAGGTATATAATAAGTACTTAGTAAGTACTTGTTGACTGAATTATTTTATCACTGTGTTCTATCGGTTTTTCTTGTGTACTGTTTCTTTCATATATCCCTTTTCCTCCATCTTTTCCACCATCTTGATTCAGACTAATCTTTTTTCTTCTTTGTTGGTTTTTTTTTTTGTCCAGAATTTCTGCAAAACTTTTTCTCATTTCTCTCTCTCCATTTTCCACATTATCTTTGAGGTTGATCTTTCTTAAATACTGTTATGCCATTTCCCATCTTAGGAACTTTCTCTTGCTGTCCATTATTTATTGAATAATGGACTAAAGTCCAAACTCTTGAGTCTGGCATTTGCAGTGGCCTACAGTTCATTGTTATAAACCTCCTCAGCCTTGTTTCCTATACTGCTCTCCTACACAGACTTTTTTTTTTTTTTTAATTCTCAGTTGGTCTAGTCACTACCATAACCAAGTTTGCTTTGTACATTTCTGTCTTACCTGGAATCCCCTCTTTTCTATTTACAGTATTTTGACTTCTTTAGTTACAAGGACCAGATACTCATTCAGGCCATCCTAAGTGAGAGGGATATTATTAAAAGGATGCATGTAGACTAGAAAGCTATCAGGAGTCTAAGTGCCCTTTCATGGGCAATTATCTGTATTTCCTAATTTGATTTTGGAAGCAAGCAATCGGATCAGCTTAGCTAATTACCATTGTCCCTTTTGAGCATGTCTTGGCTAGGAATATCAACTTACTGGTCTACTTATAGATGGGTCTCTTTTTTCCTCAAAGATTTTATTTATTTATTTTAGAGAGAAAGAGAGCATGAGTCGGGGAGGAGCAGAGGTTGAGGGACAAGCAGACTCCATGCTGAGCACAGAGCCCAACACAGGGCTCAATCCCAGGACCCTGAGATCATGACCTGAGGCAAAATAAGAGACGCTCAACCGACAGCCACCCAGGCACCCGTAGATGAGTCTCTCTTAAGCCAGGTTCCCACTCTCAATCCAATCGGTGACCATTCCTGCTTAAAGCATAGGCTGATGCTTGAGCAAGTGGCTAGGGGTGGAATAGATTTAGCTAGAATGGGCTGTTAGGAGTGGCAGGCACTGTGATGGGCAGGTCTAAGACACCAACTCTCTAAATTCTGCTTTTTCTTCAAGATTCAACTAATCTTTTCCTCTGTTGAACCGTATCTCACCACCCCAGCCAGTGTATTTTTCTTCCTTTCCCTTTTATGGC